ACCCTACTCCAGAGCTGGAAGGGACCGTGGAGGTCATCTAGTCCAACCCCCCTGCTCAAGCGGGAGACCCTGACAGAGTCGCGGAATAGCAAGTGTTGGGAGGGACCTGGGAGGTCTGATGGTCTAACCCCCGCCTCCAGCAGAATCACGGAATAATAGAGTTGGAAGGGACCGTGGAGGTCATCTAGTCCAACCCCCCTGCTCGAGCCACCATCTTGACCATTTTGACTACCCGCATGGAGTAGGTGTCTACCCGTCTCAACCTCGCCCGTTTAGAAGCCGTTCTTTGGAGCTCTCCAGCTGGGCCTGCTTTAAGAGGGGAGGACTTCAACTCCCAGAATCCCCCAGTCGGCTTGCTTTAAGAGGAGAGGACTTCAACTCCCAGAATCCCCCAGCCAGCTATCTCTTTGAAGGGACCCCTGCCGGCTTGGCTGGAGGAACCCATAATCCCCTCCCTTTTCTTATTTTTCCCCTGCAAGTTTGAGACGGGGCTGAACGTGAGGTCCAAACGGGAATCCTTGAACCCGCGCCGAGGGAGGAAGCGGACCAGGCCCACCTGCCGAGGTTGTTACTCCTGGTTGTCCATTGTGGCTCCGCCCGGAGTGGAGACCCACAACGGGACTTCGGTGGCTCCACCCGGACGGGAGACCCGCAACGGGACTTCGAGCGAGAGCTTCTCAGAGTCAGAGGATCGCTCTAGCGAAGGGGATTAGCTCCCCCCCCGTCTCACCTCGTGGTGTGGTTTCCTTTCCTGGCCTCCCCACCCCCCCCATCCAGGGTGGACCCCTTGACCCGTGTAACGTGTGAATTTAACCCCAAAGAAAAAGGGAATAAAAGGAAAAGACCGGAAAAAGGGGGAAAGAAACGAGCTCTTTCTTTCTTTCGACGTGCCTGTGTTTGTGTGTGTGTGTGTTGTGCACTTAAAAAGTGGACCGGGCCCCCAGCCAACCTCTTCACACCTCCCATCGATCCGGCGTCCGACCGGTCTCGGTCGGCGCCGCTTTGCCGTGAAGCCTGGAGAAAGGAAGAGGGAATGTTTCGGGGGAAATTGGAAGTAACCGATGTCGGCCTGTCACGCCGAGGCCACGCTTCAACGTCGTTTTCCTGGAGACGAAGGGAGCCGCCAGATCAGCCTCCGCTCTGAGTGGCCGTTTCTGAAACATCTTCTTGGAAAGCGATTGGACGATGGGGCAGGGTGGGGGGGACGCCACGATGGGATGCGCCTAAGACAGCGGTTCTCAACCTATGGGTCGCGACCCCATTTGGGGTCGATTGACCATTTCACGGGGGTCGCCAAGCAAGGCTGTCCGCCATTTTTTTCCCCTTTTCCGGCAGGTGCCTTACCTCCCTTGGGCTGGGCCAGCTGGTGGTCAGCCTGCTCCGTCTCTGCCGCTTGCCAGCTACGCCTCGGCCGGCGCAGGGGGCGGAACCACGCATGCGCGGCGCTCCCGGGCAGGGAAAGTCCTCGACTTACAACCGGTTGGGTAGTCCTCGACTTACAACCGGTTTAGTCCTCGACATGACCGGGTTAGTCCTCGACTTACGACCGGTTTAGTCCTCGACTTACGACCAGTTGGGGGTCACGGCATTAAAAAGGTTGAGAACCACTGGCCTAAGAAGTCCCCCCCCCCCAGGGATTTGGCGCGCAAACTTCCATTCTGGCTTTGCTTGACCGGAATCCGCTTGACCTTTAGGGAACGATACCTTTGTAGCAGACGTGTCAAACTCGCGACGTCGCGTGACGTCACGCCACGTATCGGAGCTTGCCGGTAATGGGGTGGGCGTGGTTTTCCGGTGACGTACCCGGCCCACAGGCCGGCAGTTTTGACACCCCTGCTTTATAGGATTCAATCTGGGTCGGTCGCCGGGATCCGAGGTTTCCTTTCCCGAGCTTTCGGACTCGTGCTGGAGTCCCGCTCTTTGGGGAACTTCTCTTTAGCGGAGTGTGTGTTTGTTCGGTATGTGGTATTCATAGGGTGTGTTGTAAGGCAGAGGTCACCAACCTTAATTGTTCTATTCATTCTCTATTCTGTCCTATTCTATTCTATTCTACTCTATTCTATTCTATTTTTTCTCTATTCTGTTCTGTTCTGTTATTCCTATTCTATTCTGTTCTGTTCTGTTCTGTTCTTCTGTTTCATTCCATTCTATCTTATCCTATCCTATCCTATCCTATCCTATTTTATTCTATTCTATTCTGTTCTATTCTATTCCATTCATTCTCTATTCTGTTCTGTTCTATTATTCCTATTCTGTTCTGTTCTGTTCTGTTCTTCTGTTCCGTTCCATTCCATTCCATTCCATTCCATCCTATCCTATCCTATCCTGTTCTGTTCTGTTCTGTTCTATTCTATTCCATTCATTCTCTATTCTGTTCTGTTCTATTATTCCTATTCTGTTCTGTTCTGTTCTTCTGTTCCATTCCATTCCATTCCATTCCATTCTATTCTATTCTATTCTATTCTATTCTATTCTATTCATTCTCTATTATGTTCTGTTCTGTTCTGTTCTGTTCTGTTCTTCTGTTTCATTCCATCCCATCCCATCCCATCCCATCCCATCCCATCCCATCCTATCCTATCCTATTCTATTCTATTCTATTCTATTCTATTCTATTCTATTCTATTCATTCTCTATTCTGTTCTGTTCTATTATTCCTATTCTGTTCTGTTTTGTTCTGTTATTCTGTTCCATTCCATTCCATTCTATTCTGTTCTATTCATTCTCTATTCTGTTCTATTATTCCTATTCTATTCTATTCTATTCTATTCTATTCTATTCTATTCTATTCTATTCTATTCCATTCCATTCCATTCCATTCCATTCCATTCCATTCTATTCTATTCTATTCTATTCTATTCTATTCATTCTCTATTCTATTCTTCTGTTCCGTTCCCTTCCCTTCTATTCTATTCTATTCTATTCTATTCTATTCTATTCTATTCTATTCTATTCTATTCTATTCTATTCTATTCTATTCTATTCTATTCTATTCTATTCTTCCATTCCATTCCTCCATTATCTCCCGATCCCGAAGGCCGCGTCTTTTCCACCAAGTGGCCTTTCCCTCCGGGAGGTCAAATGGAAAATCCCCACGGCTCCACCCTGGAATTCCTCTCCCATCCTAGCTAATCCTTCTGGTAGGACATCGGTTAATCTTTAACAGCCGGATCGGAGTACCGGGACTCTCTTCTCTGCTTCTCCCAGACTGGAGAGAAGATCTTGGAGAGATGTTCCCACCGTGTTCCCGCATGGAGCCCCGGCTGTGGCGGATCCTGGTTGCGGCCTTCGTTCTGGTGGCTTTTGCTGAGCTGCTGGATGGAGCAGAAGGAGGAGAGGAACCCGGGCAGACCCAGGTTGGTACAATCGGGGGCCGGGGGTAGTAATAGAGGGCCGAGGTCTCTTCTCCCCACCCGTGGAGTCCTCGGCCTTCAGGCACGGGGGAAAGAAGCAACGGGTGGGAACTCATCCGGGAGAGAAGCAACCTGGACTCAAGGAGAACGTTCCGGAGAGCGAGGACAATTCACCCGTGGAACGGCTTGCCACCAGAAGCGGCGGCTGCTCCAGCAGGGGACGTTCTTAAGAAGAGAAATGGTAGAGGGTCTCCTGTTCGAGCACGGGGGGTTGGACTAGAGGACCTCTGAGGTCCCTTCCAGCTCTGTCATTCTGTAATGGTTTCCTGCTCGAGCAGGGGGTTGGACTAGATGACCTCCGAGGTGCCTTCCAACTCTGTCCTTCTGTAAGGGTCTTCTGCTTGAGCAGGGGGTTGAACTAGATGACCTCCGAGGTGCCTTCCAGCTCTGTCATTCTGTAATGGTTTCCTGCTTGAGCCGGGGGTTGGGCTAGATGACCTCCGAGGTCCCTTCCAACTCTGTGATTCTGTCAGGGTCTCCTGCTTGAGCAGGGGGCTGGACTAGATGACCTCCGAGGTCCCTCCCAAATCTGTCATTGTACCAGGGTCTCCCGCTCAAGTGGGGGGTTGGACTAGATGACCTCCAAGGTCCCTTCCAGCTCTGTCACTCTACCAGGGTCTCCTGCTCGAGCAGGGGGTTGGGCTAGATGACCTCCGAGGTCCCTTTTGTCCCTGTCATTCTACCAGGGTCTCCCGCTCGAGCAAGGGGGTCGGACTAGATGACCTCCGAGCTCCCTTCCATAACTGTCATTCTGTGATTCCGTCAGGGTCTCCTGCTTGAGCAGGGGGCTGGACTAGATGACCTCCGAGATCCCTCCCGACTGTGTCATTCTACCAGGGTACCCTGCTCAAACGGGGTCGGACTAGATGACCTCCGAGGTCCCTTCCGACCCTGCCGTTCCGCGATGCCGTCCGGGTCTCCCGCTCGACCCGTAACCTCGGATTTCATCGTTCTGATTGACCTCAAGTGGGCCAGAGAGAGAGAGAGAGAGACAGTCCAAGAGTCCGAATGTGACCCGGGGAGGGTGTGTGTGTGTGTGTGTGTGTGTGTGTGTGTGTGTGTGTGTGTGTGTTAAAACGCCCAGCTCTTCTGTATGACACACCCACCCACACCCACCCCGCAATCCCACAGGGCGGCCACAGCGTGGGGAGCCCGCCGACCCGTCGGATGATCCGGACCACCCAGCACCAGCGGAAGCTCTGGAGACCCTACCGGCTCGGCAGCCTCTCGGCTCTCAGCCGAGGACTGATGAAGATCGTGGTGAGTGGGGTGGGGTGGGCTGGGCCTGGGGGGACAGGTTGCTCCTTCTCCCACAGCTCTGGAGGAGGAGGAGGAGGAGGAGGAGGAGGAGGAGGAGGAAGGACTGTGGGGGATACCTCCGTGCTCTCTGAGCTGGGTGGTCTCCTTGCAGACGTCTCATGACCCAACTAGGTGACATCCTCACTGCTAGGAGGGAGAAGGGGTTTGCAGAGAGAAGAAGAAGAAGAAGAAGAAGAAGAAGAAGAAGAAGAAGAAGAAGAAGAAGAAGAAGAAGAAGAAGAAGAAGAAGAAGAAGAAGAAGAAGAAGAAGAAGAAGAAGAACAACAACAACAACAACAACAACAACAACAACAACAACAACAACTGTGGGGATCCTCCGTGCTCTCTGAGCTGGGTGGTTTCCTTGCAGACGTTTCATGACCCAACTAGGGAACGGCATCAGTGCTAGAAGGGAGGAGGAGGAGAGGAGGAGGAGGAGAAAGAAGAAGAACAAGAACAAGAACAAGAGAAGAAAAGAAGAAGAGAAGAAGAAGAAGAAGAAGAAGAAGAAAGAAGAAGAGAAGAAGAAGAAGAGAAGAAGAAGAAGAAGAAGAAGAAGAAGAAGAAGAAGAAGAAAGAAGAAGAGAAGAAGAAGAAGAAGAAGAAGAAGAAGAAGAAGAAGAAGAAGAAGAAGAACAACAACAACAACAACAACAACAACAACAACAACAACAACTGTGGGGATCCTCCGTGCTCTCCAAGCTGGGTGGTCTCCTCGCAGACGTTTCATGACCCAACTAGGGAACGGCATCAGTGTTAGAAGGGAGGGGTGTGTGGAGGAGGAGGAGGAGGAGGAGGAGGAGGAAAAGGAGGAGGAGGAGGAGGAAGGACTGTGGAGAATCCTCCGTGCTCTCCAAGCTGGTTGATTTCCTCACAGACGTCTCGTGACCCAACTAGGGAACGGCATCAGCTCCAGCGCTGCTTGCTCTCCTTTTGATCTCCCTGGCCTTTCTCCCGGTTGGGAAGGAATTCTTGGCAGGGGAGAGAAAATCCCGGCGGGAAAATAGAAGCAATCTCACCCCCCCCCCTTCTTTTGATTTCCTCCCCCCCCAGACACCCCCCCCAGAGAAGAGGGGAGGAGGCGGCCCCCGCCCGGCCAGAGAAACGGGGGCCGGCGGACCCCCCCCTTCCTGAGACGACCCCACGGCGGGCAAAAGGTGAGAGTTTTCGGGGTGGGGGGGACCGTGTTTTTCTTTAAAGTACGAGATACTATTTTGAGGAGGGGGTAGTCCTCGATTTACGACGGCCATTTTGTGTCGCTCTGCGAGACGTCCGTTCAACGAGGGCGGCCCCCGTTTTGCAGCCTCGCCGGCCGCCGCCGTTCGGCGAGGAACCCCGTCGCGAAGCGAGTCCGCTTTCGCCGGCGACTTTGTTAGGAGGTCGCAGAAGGGGAGCGAGCGCGGGACACTGCCACCGTCGTAACTACGAGTCAGCGGATTTTGATTCCCGCGACGATCGCTCAGCGTGAAAAACGGTCCTCGGTCCCTTTTTTTCAGGGCTGTTGTCACTTGGGACAGTCACTAAACGAACTGTCGTAAGTTGAGGACCGCCTGGCATCCTCGGGGCTCCACGTTTAGCAGCGGGAATTTGGGGGCTCCGTTGTGGTCGTAAAGCGAGGACTGCCTGGGATCCTCCTAGCACCAAGTTTAGCAGCGGGAATTTTTGGCTCAATTGTGGTCGTAAAGCAAGGACTTCCTCTGATCTTCATATTTCCAAGTTTAGCAGCGGAAATTTTGGGCTCAACTGTGGTCGTAAAGCGAGGACTTCCTCTGATCTTCATATTTCTAAATTTAGAAGCAGAAATTTTGTGTTAAATTGTGGTCGTAAAGCGAGGACTTCTTGGGATCCTCCTAGTGCTAAGTTTAGCAGCGGAAATTTTGGGTTCAATTGTGGTCGTAAAGCAAGGACTTTCTCTGATCTTCATATTTCCAAGTTTATCAGCGGAAATGTTGCGCTCAATTGTGGTCGTAAAGCGAGGACTTCCTTGGATCTTCATATTTCCAAGTTTAGCAGCGGGAATTAAGGGGTCAACTGTGGTTGTAAAGTGAGGACTTCCTCTGATCTTCATATTTCCAAGTTTAGCAGCGGAAATTTTTGGCTCAATTGTGGTCGTAAAGCGAGGACTTGCTGGGATCCTCCTAGTGCCAACTTTAGCTGCGGAAATTTTGGCTCAATTGTGGTCGTAAAGCGAGGACTTCTTGTGATCTTCATATTACCAAGTTTATCAGCAGAAATGTTGGGCTCAATTCTGGTCGTAAAGCGAGGACTTCCTCTGATCTTCATATTTCCAAGTTTAGAAGCAGAATTTTTGGGCTCAGTTGTGGTCGTAAAGCGAGGACTCCCTGGGATCCTCCTAGCTCCAAGTTTAGCGGCGGGAATTTTCGGCTCCATTGTGGTCGTAAGAGGCGAGGACTGCCTGCATACCCTCAGTGTGATGTCGTGCCTTCTTTTCCCAACAGCTTCCGGAATCTTCCCTGCGGCGGAGCGAAGAAGAGAGAATTGTGGGGGCGACACCGCAACGTAATTGTGGGAAACGGGGGTCCGCTGGCCTGATGGGTCTGGGGGTCCCTACCTGGCCGAGGTGGATGGTCGGGGAACCCGACAGCCTCTTCGGCCCAGAGCATGATGGGAGATTTCCTCCATGACGCAAAAGTATTCCATTCAATCAGTGTTTCTCAGCCTGGATCACTTTAAGAGGGGAGGACTTCAACTCCCAGAATCCCCCAGCTGGCATGCTTTAAGAGGAGTGGACTTCAACTCCCAGAATCCCCCAGCCGGCATGCTTTAA